TAGGCCATACAAGAAAGGATTCTCTAGAGAAGGTAGCCAAAGGACCAGAAATTTGGTGAGCCCAATCAGAAGGGCCAGATCACCCCTACAAGTTCACACCAGCTTTACTTCTTAAAAATTGCTAACCAACCATTTTTCTTTTCAAAATAAACACTATTTCTCTCAACTGCAGTTTGCAAAATATTACCCCAATTCCACTGGACTAAAAAACTGGAATTTTACTGACATAATTGGATTATGAGGTTTAAAGATTGATGGAACTTTTCTGTTCCAAATATAATTGTTCAAATACCAAACCTAAATGGGTATGTAGAAGTTCTGACATAGTTAGAGCCAGAGTACAACTGCAGGCTCCAAGCCAGGGTGACATAGGAGAGGGGATGAAGAGGCTACCAAATGAGGCTACCAAACCAAAGACCTGCCAAGCCCTGTCAAAGAAGGGTCTTGGGGTCTCAGAGTCTCGGGGGCACATATTGCCCTTCTGCTGACACGGCTAGTACTACAATGGAGACAGCTTTGGTCAGCTCCCCCATGCTTGCTCATTTCTCAGACCTCAGCTCATATACCAATGACCTTGGCACTTTACTCATACCAATATTATAGCACTAGCTATTCTTGGCTGTAATTTTACTGAATATGAACCTGTTTCCCTGAAGAACAAGTGTTTTTAGTATTTCCTATAACTATATATTAAATATACATATGCATGTATATTATACATATATAAACAATATATGAAAATAAATGTTTTAGGAGAGGAGATAGAAGGAGAAGGAAAAAGACACAGAAGAGTTGATTTTAGGAGTTTAGAGAATATGTATCAATTTATTCAATATAGCACATATTCTTCAGCATTTGCTAGAAAATGCTAGTTCCTTTGTTATTCCTCAGAAAATAAATACTGGTTTTAAAAAATCTCTTTGAACACTGAACCCATGAGCAGAAGAAATCACACTATCTTAAGTACTTGTACCAAGTGCCTCCCTCCTTCATTACAATTCCATATTTGACTATTGTTTAATACATTTGACTTATGTTCTTCTGCTGTGAGACCATGTCCATTTTGGTTCATATTTCTAGTGGCCAGGATGGTGTTTAATAATTATCTGTTGGCTGAAAAACTGTTTATTATCTATCACAACATCAAAGAAAAAGTTAATCTAATCAGATCCAAACACTTCAATATATTTCTCTTTATTAATTTTTTATTGTAAAACGTAAGAAATTAATCAAGACTACACAGCTATACAAACGTATGAATTAACTCTGGTGTCCTCACTGGGTGTTTGGGCCACAGGGTAAGAGAGGCATGCAGATGAGTCAGCACTCCAGAACACGACCTCAGCGCTCCTTGGTACCTATGCTTTCAGCCCACTATGATTAAAGGGTATTTATTTAGGCCCAGCTGCATGGATATATACATATGATTAGTTTTAGCTTAAACCAATTCTTATAATAAAGGCAAGTAATAAAAATATTCCTGCTAAGATCCAGAGATTAAAGAAAATATTAATCTAAAAATATCAATATTACTATTAATACTACTGATACCAGAAAAATGGCAAAGCTAACATTTCTTCTATTTCTGACATAAAGTCATCCCCAGCTGCATTATGACTTAAATATAATGGCCACCAATCGTATATTACCCAGAATATCATTTAGGAAAAATAAACACATTAAATCTGTCCCTTCAATGTAAAGATGGCATTTTAATCTTAAGAAAAAAGTTAATGCATCTTGAAAACAAAATAATATTTATGTTTTGAAGATGACATTTTAAAAACTGGATTTGTTGAAATGTATTGATTATATGGTTTGAGGCTTAAAATGACATAGCGTATAAACTAAAAAACTGTCACACACCTGAACTTAATAGAATTTTCTATTTTTAAGATGACATCAGAAGAATAACCAAGGATAATGAACCCATCTTAAAACAAACAAACAAACAAAAAAAAACATTCTAAACTGAAGATGCAGTGCCTTTCAATTAGTCCACAGTATGACATCAGGCAGGGAGAAAATATATTTCAAAATGAATTGGAACGTAACTGGTTACTAGGACTAAAAAATGAGCATTGATTTAGTGAGCTCAGTTTATCTTCTAAAGATATATCTTTCATTTATTATAACCATTAAAGCAAGTAGCAAAATATATAGGACTAAACAAGATTTTTGAATTTCCATTTCAAAGTTGTTAAGCAAAATTTAAAAACAAATTAATGGAAAAAAATGTAAACATAACAAAAAGGAATAATTAATCAAATTGCTTTCACCAAAAGCAAATTGTTAATGTGAACAAACCAGGTCTTCTACACCTTTGTAAGTAAAAGTAAAATATTTAATAATTTATTTCATTTTCACTTCATTTTAATTTTTCTACTTTCATCTGTGTTTATAATGTAAATAATAGTTTACTGAAGAAGTACATTTGCTTATAATGTTAAAATGAAATCATATGCATAAACACAAATGTATATTCAACACTGTTTAAGATTTCTATCTAAGGTATCAGGAAACAGTTGAAAGACTCTTAAAGCAAAGAATAAAAAAAATCAGATATGAAGTTTAAAAATATAATTCTGGAGATAGCAGACAGGGAAAAACATATTTGAAGCTTTAAGTAGTGTTTTTTATTTTTTTTTAAATCCTTGTTACTCCACTAGTTGGCACACAGCATCCTAAAGTCCCTCTACCTTTCCATCCCTCCACAGCAAGCACAGTAGACTTTAACAGAGGCTTTCTGCAGAGTAAGGCCTTGTATATTCTGTAATTCTGTAGTCCAAGGCAATGAGGGCCATAGAAATGGTAGGGCGGAGCTTGGAGGAATGCTGGGCCCTGTGACTTCTGCAATGCTTAGTATTTATCTGCAGCTAGTAGACACGCTAGAAAAGAAGAGCACATCTATTTTCTTACATTTGTATTTATAATAAAGTTAATTTTTTTTTGAAAAATGCAGAGGTATACAAAATGAAAGTAAAATATTACTTCTCTACCTCCTTACCACTCCACTGAATTCATTCCCCATGGGAATGTTATTATGATAATAGTTTCCTTCTTTTAGATTCTTTGCTGCACATATATACTTGTGTATATGTGTATTATATGCATTTTCTATATATACTTATATCATTTTATATTATTTTATAAGAATAGGCCCATATATTATTCTGAAACTTGTTTCTTTCACGTAACAGTATTTGGCCACAGTTCTAGGACAGTCAACATGCATCTAGCCCCTTTTGGCACAATTGGAGAGAATGTTATCATATGGATATACCCAAATTATTAAACCATTCCTTTATTAGTGTATATCAGTACTGTTTTTTTTTTAAAGAGAGAGAGAGAGAGAGAGGGAGAGAGGGAGGGAGGGAGAGAGAGAGAGAGAGAGAGAGAGAGAGAGAGAGAGAGAGAGAGAATTTTATTTATTTTTTAGTTTTTTCGGTGGACACAACATCTTTGTTGGTATGTGGTGCTGAGGATCGAACCCAGGCCGCACGCATGCCAGGCGAGCGTGCTACCGCTTGAGCCACATCTCCAGCCCTCAGTACTGTTTTTAATGTTTCACTTTTACAATAAAGCAGTGATCATTCTCATACACATTTCTTTGTGCACTTCTTTGGGTATTCTTTGTACACTTCAGGAAGTACAGTTTTTTCGGAAAGAGTAAGTACATTTAAATACTTGGTCAAAAATGCAGCATGGATATACTAAATTATACTTAAAACAAAAAAGTTCAGCCATTCATTATGATCTTTTGTCAGCAAATCTTTACAGCTTCCTAAATTCAGGGAAAGATCTCAGCAAACAAACTTCTCAATCTGTTTATGACAAAAACCAAGATTCATAGAGGTAAATAAAGGTCAGAGGTCCCAGATCTCAGAGCCCCTGAGGAGATAATGTACCCATGCACTACCAAGAGCTCAGGAGAGAGGCGAATACTACAAAAATCCAGGATAACAACTTGGGTCAGCTGACTTCAAATATAATGTGTGTTCCACCAGCCACACTGACAAAAATGGCAAGAGGGGGCAGAAGAGTACTCTCAAAGTCAGTGGAGTTATGGGCATCCAGAGTGGAAGGTACTGTAAGTTCAGCTGCACAGAGGGACCAAGTGTGGTGAAAAGACTCTGACATGGGATAACCTTAGTAAAAACCTTCCACAGCCTCAGTGGGTTGTATGAAAAGTTTCTTGGTTCTAAATATCTCCATGTGGCATACAAAACGAATGCCAGTACTGAAACCAAATTCTGAAGAGAAATATCAGAAAAGAACTAACATCCCACAATGAAGAAACATCTTCAAAGAAGATGTTGTTATAAAAATACCACAAAAGTACTTTCCAACGAATTCCAGACCTAAAAGTAAAGCTTTAAAATGAGACTCCAAGCACAGAAGTCTTGAATTTTTTGGTCTGTGCCTAGAGAGGCCCACTTAGAGGAAGCATTTCTAACCAGATAACACTGCTTTTATTTGACCAGACCTATGGGTACAGTGAGAAGAAAAGAAGTGGCACCTATAATTTTTGAAATCAGAATGGTCCAAAACAGGGGTCAGCAAACTTCTGTAAAAGGCCAGATGGTAAGTATTTCCAGCTTTGCAGGCTACCTGGTCTCTGTTGCAGCTACCCAACCCTACAGTTGTAGTGCAAAATAGCCACAAGCTATTGTAAATGAATAAGCATGGTTATGCTCCAATGCAACTTTATGGACACTGAAGTTTGAATTTCATGTAATTTTCTTGAAATATTACTATTATAATATTTCCAACCATTTAAAATATAAAAACCATTCTGAGTTCATGAACTGTACATAAAATGGTATTGTGCTGGATTTACCTCATAAGCCAGTTCTGCTTCTTAAATACTCAAGAAACACTGAATTCTCAACTGAATTTGAATGTTGGTGGAAAGACGGAAACTTCTGCATCCAACCCCTAGGAAATAGGTTATAAGGCAGAAGATATTAGAGATTTCTTAAAGGATTTCAGGTATTTACCTTAAATCTCTTCTCTTGCTGAGTTCCTCTGGTGGAATTGTCCAGGGCAGGCTTTGGGGGAGACATTCTAGAACTTCTGAGGAGAAATCAGAGAAATCTACACCATACTCTGTTAGTATCCCTTCTGTTTCAGGCTCAATTTCACCAGCCTGCCCAAGACTCTTAGCCAGCTGCCTGTGGACAGAACAGAGAGGGAACATTGGGTTAGTGAACAAATGAAACACTGGCACCTGTCTACTCTTTAAATGAAAGGTGCTGGGAGAGTGTTAAAAATCTTCTGCCCCTCCACAGCAGGAATGCAATAGCCAGTGTATGAGGACAGGGAAGGGGCGAGAAGAAGAAACAAGGATATTCTTGGCCTGTAAAGTCCATGATTACAATGTAATTTTACCTTTCTTAAGGAATTCTGATTTGGGAACAGGGCCAGAAGGCCTTTCTTGGAACCTGCAATTTTTCGTGGAGAAGTCAAAACTGACATTATAAAAGGCTTGCATAGATGCTTCTGGAAAACACCTTTAGAGACAATTCTGTTCAACTCTGTTTGCTGTTAAATCATTACCTTCAGAGTGCCTACACCTGAAGTCACTGGATTAGAGCTGATAACTCATATTTGTTTCATAATTCTACTAAATTTTACCTTTAAAAGGTAAAAATATGTTATCTAAACATAATAATGTATGTCTACTATAAAAAGGTTAGAAAACCCAGAAAGGTACTAAGAAGAAAATTTAAAGTATCTATAATACCTAGCAAACTATCATTCACAATTTAGGGACTGGACATTAAAGTCCAGTTTGCATTTAATAGGACATTCCTTACATGAACACAGTTCTACCTTTTAAAGAGAAGATCTCACTCATTGGTTGGTCATCTACATATATATTAAAATTGATAATTCTCTATTGTAAATATTGTCATGGCACAAACAGATAACAAGTCTCAAGTTTCATGTTAAAAACAGATAGCAAATAGGAAATGTAATCTGAACCTTGCAGTAGTTGCCTTTCAAGAGGGTACTGGGGAAACCAAAGATGGCCATCTCTCCTGTTGTTCACTTCTACTCATCTCCCAGGATGATCCAGGAATCCCCTCTGCTCTTTTTGCAAGGAATTTAACTCTGGCATCATTCAATTTCACTAAAGAAAACTCTGTTTAGATGCCTGGCTGCCAGAATTCTCAGGTACAGAGCTGTAAATTGAAACTGGGGACTTGGTTGTCTAACAGGCAGACTTTTAACAAATTCTGATCTTCAGCCTTGAGGAGTACAGCAGTGGTGGCAGCAGGGTTGGCCCCATTTCTCACCCATCAACCATGAAAGGGCAGCCACAGTCCACACACACTCCTGTCCTTCAGGTTATATTGAGGGAGCCTGTACAGTGACCTATGGGCTCAGATCAGTGACTCCTCCGCAAACCCAAGTGGTGATCTCACAGAAAGCACACCAAAAAGCCAAAGGCAGAGAAATATGAGAACATAAAATTATAGAGAGCTATCTGGAAAATCCCCAAATATTTGGAAATTAAACAATGCACAGGTTGAGGAGGAGAGAAAAGTAAATTAGGCAATATTCTGAACTGAACAAAAACATAACACATTACAGAAGCAGCTAAAGCAGTGCTTCTAGGGAAATTTATAGCATTAAATACTCATATAAAAAAGGAAGTGTCAAATCAATGAACAAAGCTGCTTCTACCTTAAAAAACTATAAAGAAAAGAACAAATTTGACTCCAAAAAAGTAGAAGGAAAAAAAAGTAACAAGAATCAATGAAAAGAAAATAAACAATGAAGAAAGAGAATAAAACATAAATTTCTATTCATATTAGTCAATAAAAACAGAAGGACATGAATTATCAGCATCAGGAATGAGGAAGAATATCATTACACATGCTACAAGTATCAAATGGATCATAAGGGATTTATGAATGACTTTAAACCAATAATTTCAATATTCTGGATGAAATGGACAAATTTTAGAATGACAGAAATTACCTAGGATTATTCAAGAATAAATCAATATATGAATATTCCTACATCTATTAAGGAAATAGAATTCATAGTCTAAAACCCTCCCTTTAAAAAAAAAACTGCAAGTCAGATACCTTCACTGATGAATCTTACCAAGTATTTAAGAAAACAGAATTGACCACTATATAAAAAAGATAACACATTATGACCAACACTAAAAAATAAACAAACAAAAATCAACCAATATAATTCATTATATTAGCAATCAACAAACATGTATTATCTCAATAGAAGAAAAACAATTTAATAAAATTTCCATATTCTTTTATAATAAAAGACCCAGGATTAATGGACATAAACTTCTTCAACTTTAATTTAAAGGCCATAATCCTAGAGCTAATACCAAACTTAATGGTAAAAGAATAAACAGTTTTCCTGGATCAGGAAGAAAACAAAGGTGTTCATTCTCTTCAATAATATTTAACATTGCATTGAAGTTCCTAGTAAATGTGACAAGGCAAGAAAAAATAAAAGGTATACAAACTGGAAGAAAGAACTGAACACTGAAGTGGGAGAAAAGACTTGACTCCCATTACAGTAATGGCCAACCTCCCACTACATGATGCCTGGCGTCTCTCTAAGGAAGACCCCACTCACACCATGCACACCAGAAGCCAATACACTGTGTATGACTTAAACTCTGCCTCAGCTCAAGACTTTGAATGTGAAAATAATGACTCAAAGAGGTACTCCAGACCCATTCATGGCAGCAAGAGTGGTTTCTAGTGACTGCAGTGGTAGCAATAGTGTCCAGTGGAAGTGGTGGTTTGCAAGAGCAGTGGTAAGAACCACCATGGCCAAACAGTGAGTGCTTGATGACTTCTGAGCTCTCCAGAAGTTAATTCACTCCTCCCCTTTTTTCAAGGAATTCAAGCCTCTCACTGTTTCTGTGAGCCCTTCAATATTCTTCCAATAAACTCATTCCCCAACAGAGCTCGTTTCTCTTTCCAGAAACTAAGAATCCAGACAGTTAAAAACACAGGTTATCCCAATGTTACCTTATTTTTTAAATAACAAAATCATTACCAGTGTGCACTAGGATGTGAAGATCTAGGGGACAAACTGTCCCTGCTTCTGAAGTTTGAAGGAATGGGAATTCCACACTGCACTGGATGACTACTTGCAATAATGTTGTTTAGATTAAAAAACAAACAAAAAACTTTAAATTCTGGAGATCACAGGCAATAATTAGTCATTTAAAAAATTAATTGGTATTTAAAAATTAATAGAACACAAGGTATTTCCCAATCATCTAACTAACCTATTTATTATCCCCACAGGTTCCTGCAGTTTAGTTTCCTACATTCATCTCCTAACATCACTATCTTTTAACTGTCTGAGTTCTTGGTTACAAGGAAAAGAAACCAACTCTGGTTGGAAAGAGTTTATTAAAAGGATACTTGCTGGGTGTGGTAGCACACATCTGTAACCCCAGCAGCTTGGGAGGCTGAAGCAGGAGGATCACAGGTTCAAAGCTAGCATCAGCAACATAGTAAGACCCTGTCTCAAAATAAAAAATAAAAAGGGATGGGGATGTGGCTCAGTGGTTAAATGCCCTTGGGTGGTTCAATCCCTGGGGGGGGGGGCGGGAATATTGCAGGGCTCACAGAAATAGAGACTTACAGAATCAAAAAAGGAGATGGAAACGAAAAATTATATGCTTAATCTCTAAATTCTTGATTCTGGGCTAAGATGAAAACCCAGGAACTTTCTTTTTTCATCAAAAAAGATTCCTGGGGATGTTACTCGGTGGCAGATCATATGCCTTGCACTTGTGAGGCACTGGGTTCAATCCTCAGCATCACATAAAAATAAACAAAACAATACAGGCATGCTGTCCATCTACAACTATAAAAAATTTTTTTTTTTTAAAAAAAAAGTATCCTGAATTTCTTATAGCCGCCAGGCTAAGGCAGAAATTTTTTTTTTTTTTTCCCAAAAGATGATGAATGAGGGCTGGAGTTGTAGCTCAGCAGTAGAGCACTCGCCTAGCACGTATGAGGCACTGGGTTTGATCCTCAGCACCACATAAAAATAAATAAAGATTAAAAAAAAAGATGATGAATGATTACATTACTGGATTTAGGGTCTAACAAGTATCTTAGGTGAAAAGTAGGGGCACTGATGAGAAAGAATAAGATTCAGGGGATACAGAAAGGTCTGAGTACCCTGAATGCCTAGTAGCAAATGACCTTCCACTTTCATGATTCTTCAGTGGACTATGATAGCATTTGAAGGAACAGGCTCTGAAAAGAATTGTAACCAAAACCTTGTAATATATCCATGGTCCACTTCGGCTGAGAAAAGATGGCCCGATAGGCAGTGACTTTAAGTTTAGCCAGAAGGACAGGGACTTCAAAGAATGATTGAAGGACTGGTGACAGGCATACCTGGGGAAGAGACATGTGGATGGAATGGAACTATTAAAATATACCCAGACAGAGTATAACTATTAGAATTCCACAAGAATGCTCAGCCAAGTGATCTCACTGTGGAGGGAGGAGGGGTCTGGGAATGGAAGATTCTGCCTTCCCAACCACTGCAGTGCTTCCTTGACATGAACAAGGTACATGGCAGCAGGAAATGAGCTCCACATTAACTTCTTCTTCTGATAACCTGGCCCCTGCCCGTCCAGGATACCAGTGTGCCAGCAATAGTAATCAACTTTGAGTCCATGATAAAGAACCATGCCAGGAGGACCCAACAGTACTTGATAACAAGTTGTATCCCTCAGCTCTTCTTTAATGAAGAGGGCAGAAATCTGGGCTTGGGACTGCTGTCTTCATCTGTCCTGCCTACCATGCTTTGCATGAATATCACAATCCATAGATTTCAGAAATACAGAAAAAGCTATTGGTATCTCATTCAATTTTGTTTATAATAAAGTATTTCATTTCTTGAAAGAAGCAAAGCATATAAAAGTCACTGAGTGAAATGGTGTAATTGTCTGCTGACTGCTAAATTATGAGACTAATCAGAAGACAACACCTTGTAAGGTTGCAGAGCTTCCTCCAGGACAGTCATGGTGCTCTCCCTTGAAAGCCTAGAGCCAGTGCACAAGGTCTGGATATCAAGGATACAAGTGGAGTCAGGCTTTTCAACATCACACTTAAGACCCACTCAAAATTTTTCTTTTCCAGTACTGAGA